GTATAGCATGCAAAGGTATTATGTTCCTTCATCTTTTTCTAATTCTGTTCTTGACCTCTGTCCAGGACTCCCAGTACAAGCCAACACCCACCCAAACAAAACTGTTTGGTCCCTTTAAACTCAACCTTAATTTTTTCTTTAGGTTCAGGAAGTGACTCTTTTTTGTTGTCTTTTGTCCACAATGATTTAACTGCTTCATACATTTTCTGACTTGTAGCATATGCCTTTTTCCCAGTGACCTAATTAAAACAAAAAGTGAGACAAATGACCTATTTTTAAGAGTTAAAATAAGTATTAAAAATATGTCAGGTATTTTGTATTAACACCCAAGTTAGAATCAACAGAAAATGCATGAATGAATTTCTAGATGATATAACACAAAGCCCCATTTTCTAAATCGTGTATGAAATGTTGTTTGCCTCATGTAAAAGGCTAAAAAATATATATAGTTAGTACAACACCAAGAGTGGATTCTAATGTAAACTATGAACTTTGGGTGATAATTATGTGTCAATGTTGGTTCATCAACTGTAACAAATGTACCAGTTTAGCAGGGGATCAGAGGAGACTATGCATATGTGGGAGCAGGAGTTGTACTGGAAATCTCTGTACCTTCACCTTAATTTTATTATAAACCTAAAACTGCTCTAAAAGAAAGTCTTAAAAACTTTATAGTTAGCATTCACATTGTGAATTTAAAACAAAGCCAATTTAAGAGGAGTTTGGGAAAGACAGTTTGAGATAATAAACAGCTGACTGAGAAAATAAGATTTTAACATGCTACAAAGTTAATGCTTCTGTTTAAATTTTTGTTGCTTTTTCGAGGCATAAAGAAAAAGCATCAATGTATTTCTACAGAGAACACTGCTCTTTTTTTGCAGAAACATGAAATAAAAAAATGAACTACAAAAACTAAAGCAGAGGCTAGGTTGCTGACTGAATTCCTGAAGCTGCTGAAAATCTGACTCCTTTCTGTTCTTCCATCCTTATTTTCCTTATGGTTAAGGTAATTTCAACAGCTATTGATTATTCAAGTTTTAAAGATGTTTTGTGGAGCTATCCAGAATTACAATTTCTATAAACAAATTTTTTTAAACTATGTTTTCTACCATTAAGTAGAAATATTTTTATTACTTTTGCTAAGTACATGCTACATTTAAGAACAATAAATCAATACACTGGTATAAAGAAAGTACTCTGTTTCATAAGCTTTGTTCATTGTTGTGCATATATTCTTACTGAATTTTTACTCTTATATGTACACTACAGGCCTGGTGCATGAATTCGTGCACCAGTGGGGTCCCTCGGCCTAGCCTACGGGATTGGACTGTAACCAGCTCTCTGACATCCTCTGAGGGGTCCTGGATTGCAAGAAGGCACAGGCCAGGCCGAAAGACCCCACCGGTGGCACAATCAGGGCTGGGAAGGGACACAGAAGGTTGGCCAGCCAGGGAGGGACCATGGAAGGGCTCCAGGGCGTGTCCGGGCCATTTCACTCAGTCCTGATCAGCCAGACCCCAGCAGCAAGCTAATCTACCAGTTGGAGCATGTGCCCCCTTGTGGTCAGTGCATGTCATAGCGACTGGTTGAGTGGCCTTAGCATATCATTAGCATATTACGCTTTGATTGGTTGAACAAACGACCAGACAACCGGACACTTAGCATATTAGACTTTTAGTATATAAGATTATATACATTCACACACAGTGTTTTAAAACAAATGGAATATAGCCCAATCCAAGATGGAGGCAGAGTAGATGGGAGTCACACACACCACCTCCTGGGACCAAACTGGAATTACAACTTTATAGAACAATCAACCTGACTAGCCAACTGAAGAATAGCTAAACAGGTGTATTATACCCAAGAATTTACAGACGAAGCCACATCAAAACAGGCAGAAAGGGCAGAGATATGTAAAGGGGTGTCCCCCTCACCCCCCGCTCCCATGGGCATGGGCTGATTTTGGAGGGATATCTCACCTGCAAAGTTACCCCTGAGGATTATGGTGTCTGAACCACAAGCGAGGCTTCCCATCCCACAGAACCAGAGCCAGGAAGAGGCAACCACATATATCTAGCTGTGAAATTTGGTGGGGATTATGTCCACCAGGGAAATTCGGAGCTGCTACAGACACAGGTGCACTCTTAAAGGGCCAATGCATGAAATCTCATTCACAGCCACTCACCTTGGGCTCCAGCTGAGGGAGGGCAGAGCAGACTAGATTCCAGTGAGGAAGAGACTGAGTTTTGTGGCTCTGGAGAGAGACCTGAAGGGCGAGCTGCCAGAATGCCTGTGCTAAGTCTATCTCCCACACCACAGAAAACATCTCTCTTGGGTGAAGCACTTCCTTCCTTAGGATATCAGCCTAGGGCAGTGGTTGGCAAACTGCTGCTCGGGAGCCACATGCAGCTCTTTGGCCCCTTGAGTGTGGCTCTTCCACAAAATACCACGTGCAGGCACACATGTACAGTGCGAATGAAACTTCATGGCCCATGTGCAGAAGTTTGTATTTTGTGGAAGAGCCACACTCAAGGGGCCAAAGAGCTGCATGTGGCTCGTGAGACGCAGTTTGCCGACCACTGCCCTAGGGTAATGCATAGCCCCAGCCTCTGGACACTCTGTTGCCCCACCCTGTGGAGCATCACCTTGTTGAAGTGTCAACTGCCAAGGTTGGGGTGTAGAGGTCTGGGCAGACTCAGGCTGTAAGTGAGTGAGTTTTGTGGCTTTGAGGTGGAGCCCAATTACGCACGCTTTCTGGTGAACCTGACAGGTGCCTAACCCTCCCTCACAGGAGATACTCTAGCCCCATACTTTAGACTCTGGGTGGCTTTACCCTCTCTAATCCTGTGGCCACTGCCCTGCTGAGCATGGGTTCCCCAGGAGTTCTAGGAATAATCCGAGACAGACTGAATAGTGTGGCTCTGGGGTTGGGGCCACTACCCCAACCTTCGCACAAGACTGTCCAGCGCCACTCCCTCACAGGAGGTCTACTAGTTCCACCCTCATGATTCCCAATAGTCCTGCCTGGTAAGCTTGGGCTACTGGCAGAATCTGGGGCAGATTGAGTTTTGTGGCTTTAGGATGGGGGAAATTTTTCCCTTACACATAGAACCAGTGCAGAACCTTCCCTTTACACAGCCAAATCTTGTTCTCTTTGGACCTGATAAACTCTGTAGGACTCACCCTGATGACTCTGAGACCCTATCCAACCACAAAGGTCTGATGGCACCCGGGTGGTGGCAGCTAGACTTGGTATATCCTGTGACTTTTCTGAGTAGTCTCAAACCAAGCACTGAATTTGAACCACTATTAATCTGGTGAACACAACTCGCCCCTACCTGGTGACTCAGCTTGGTCCTTTCAATGCACACACAGGCCCAGCCGAGGCACCCACAAACTGTGGACTGCTTTGAAGCATCAAACAGGCTACTCAGAGCCAGTCATAAGCAGTTTACTGATACTGATCTGCACCAGAATCCCTCCCAAGAGGACCCAGAAACAGTAAGACAATGACCAACTTCAGACAACATTGGGGCAGGGTCCAATTAGCTTCATAAATGGCATATTGAAAAGAAATTTCAGCAGGCACCAGCCCCTGCTGAGATAAATTCCACTTGGTTTGGTCAGCCCCTGCACAGCAGTTTGTACACTGTGGTCGGGGCTAACCCTAACAGTCACTCTGAAGGTCAAACCCATGCATAAATGACCCAATAACAATCAAGACTCAATTAAAAAAGGGAGCACCCACAAAACACACACATGGGAAATTCCTGAAGCACCCAGCTCAGGTGATCAAGGAGACTGTGCCACGGGTCCCAAATGAAACTTACTACATAAAGCCACCTTGCCAAGAGTGGGAAACACAGAAGATCTGCCTAATACATAGAAACAAACACAAAGAGGCAGCTAAAATGGGGACACAAGACACATGCCCCTAAATGAAAGAACAGGAGAAATCTCCAAAAAAAAAAAAAAAAGAAAAATGAAATGGAGGCAAGGAATTACCAGATATAGAGTTAAAAATAAAATGGTTATTAGAATGTTCAAGGAACCTAATGAAAACTTCAACAATATGAAAAAGGACATAAAAACCATAAAGAAGAACCAGTCAGAAACGAAGAATAGAGTTTCTGAAATGAAAAGTTCACTAGAAGGAATAAACAGAAGGTTGGATGAAACAGAGGATCAAATCAGTGACTTGGAAAACAAGGTAGCAGAACACTCTAAATCTGAGCAGCAAAAAAGAAAAAAAAATGGCAGAGATAACTGGGAATGCAAGATAAAGGAGAGAACCATAGTATGATATGGCACCTACCCCTATCTACACTCTATCACTGATTTTGAATCCCAAAGGACTGCAGCTTCTAGAAGAAGTATTCGTAGGGGGGATTCCAAAATGGTGAAAGATTAAGTGAAAGCTACACTGACATTCTCCCAGGACCAATTTGGAATTACAACTAAAATACAGATAAATCATCCTGAATAATCAATTGAAGGCTGGCTGGAGAGAACCCTTATAACCAAGCACATAAAATGGAGGCCACATAGGGACCGGTAGGAAGTGAGGAGACACAAGAGGGCTGGCCAGGC